ATGAATTCAGATTTCTTTTTGTTCATTTGTGAATGATTATATTACAATCTCAACAAAGTGTTTTGAACTTTTGATAATTATCATTTTTTAAAAAAGTTCATTTCTTATTTACAGGAAGATTTTCAAGGACCCCACATTGATTTAGAGTAAGTATAAACACTGATTGATTAAACATTCTACATTAAATTGGGTAAGAGCAGCAGGGGGGGGGGCTGTCAGTAGTCTGTTTAACAAGTTTTTGGCCAAGGCCCCATTCCCATAAACACCACTGGTGTGCCGTCAACTTTTCTGAATGATATGCTTCCTCCTGGTGTAAAGTTGAATACATAAAAACTGGTAATTATACCAGTATGTTGGAAACAAGAGAAGGCATGCCATTCAATGTCTCAGTCATGCTGATTAAACTTATTAAGAGTCCCCACAGAGTTGGGTTGAAACACATAGACTGACAGTGTCTGTGGGAATGGGATCTGAGACTTTCAAATAATTTAATGCAGAAGAATGGATATTTATTAGAAAATCCTTTGTACAGTTACAACTTGTATGTTTCACTATTGGATTGAATTACTATAAGCTTTCGTTTGTGTTCCAATCACCGTTTTACACAGTCATGAACTGAACATATATCAGCAGACAGCTGTACCATATTCTGAGTAATTGTATTTATAAAACATACCATGTACTGTTTAAATTCTCTCAGTCATATTAGCAGTATTAGGAATAAGGAATAATGGACAAACAGTTAACACTCTACCATATACATACACTTAGCTGGATGAATGGTTATGAATACTTAAATCATTTCTTTGCTGTAAATATAACTGTGTTTTTTTAACAAAAGACCAAGTTAATTTTGTAGAAGTCAAGTGCATAAAACATATCTATTTATTTATAGCACAATGTAAAATATTATATTTATTATCTTATTAAGACATCAAAGCATCATTTTACTGCCCAGTCCAAGTTCCAGTCAAATGATGCTTTGTTTTTATATTATTTGATTATATTTTTGTAAACAGAAATTATCAGTTTACAAAACTTAGGATGATAATTACATTTTCATTTTAGAGATGAGAATATTGAAACACTTGAATTATCTGAACACACAGTCAACCCTGGGCAATTAAAAGCTGGGACACATGATTTTGAACTTCTGAAAGTTCTAGGGAAAGGAGGATATGGAAAGGTATGTTTTTGTCATGAAACCATCAGTATAAAACATCAAAGCAACTTAGGCTCGGTTCCCATCCCTAGATTGATCTAACAGGATCGTTCCATCTCCACGGGGTTTCTCGCTTAATTGCTTTCAGCTTAAGTGGTTTAGATGTCTGGGACGCTTACTAAAGCTGCTAAATGATAGTTAATTACCCCCTATCAGCTTCAGTAGGCGTGACAGACATCTAAGCCGCTATAGTTAATTGCAATTAAGTGAGAATCCCCTTGGAGATAGTTCGATCCAAAGTTAGTACAATAGTCTCTGGAAATAGTTAAGTATCTTAGAAACCTTAACTGGTTTGTCTTAAGAACATTGAGATTATTTGATTAGTGTGTCTATTTAAAATTGGTCATTCAATAACAAAAACAACTGAAATTGATATTTATAAGCAGAATTGGACTTTGTTTAGTTGTAGGATGTTTGTTCCTCATGACATCTTACTTTTTTGTAGGTATTTCAAGTCCGAAAGATTTCAGGCAAAGATGCTGGGAAAATTTTTGCTATGAAAGTGTTAAAAAAGGTAATAATTTTTCAAAGTCCAAACCAGTCATAGTATGTATCCATAAAATATGGCATAAATAGCTCATAGAATTATCATTCAGGTTTTTGATTAAAGTCAATGTAGGTCTTCATATGTAGAATATGTATAATTTCATGTCTTGGACCTATTTTATTAGAATTTTACAGATTTTTAATCTAAAACTATCATTGGGGATCATAATACTTCACTACCTTTCTTGTTTAAAGAGTTGAAGATGTATAGCATTGCTTTTTGTCTGTTTGTTCATACATGTTAAAAAAGTATTTGTCATGTAACTTAATGCATAATATGACAAGATAAAAGTTTGATTTGTTATATTAGGCCAAGTAACATTTTTAATTATGTTTTTAAGTACTAGTATTTCCATTATTCTTAGTATTGGTTTTTAATTTTTAGGCAACAATAGTTAGAAATGCCAAAGACACTGCTCATACAAAGGCAGAAAGAAGTATTTTAGAAGCTGTAAAGGTAATGATGAGTTTCCTGTCGAATGTTGTAAATGCAAGGTATCACATTCATTTAGAGTTTATGAAACTTAGTAATTAAGAGTTGAATTATTTAAAAACAATATGACAGTTTTTTAAAATTCGCAATGTATTTTCATATAATTTAGACATTGATTAACTGTTGATTGATATATTGATTGTATGGAAAAAATTCACCAGCTTCATATGTGTATTATAGTAGTAAGTTTTTTTTTAAATAAAAATACTGTGCAACTTAACCCTTTGGTGGTCAAAGTCAGTGGTTCAATGGTCTGATGTTGAGATGACCCAGGTGATAAGGGCTGTTATGGTTAAGACCTTGTTACACTTACCAGGTCAACTGTACACAGTGTGATACCTTCATTGGTAATTTAAATCAGACATGTAATTGAATACTAGAACAGAGACATGCTAAGGACCAGTTACAGATGGCAACTCTACCTATGCTTTTGCTGAAGACATTTTTAACACTGGCCCTTGGAGTAATTGAACTTCTGGACAAATTTTATACTGAGCAGATGGATGTTACTGTGAAGGCCAGAGAAGCTGTCACCAATGGCTGACATTTACCACCTAGAAATAATGATTAAAGGGGTGGAGGTTGAATTACTGGACATACGTAACCCAGTGGTCAGTCATATCATCATCAGCTAGAGGAAGGCCATGGAAACAATACTGTTGTGCAAGATTTTAACTGTTTGAGATGAGAAAAAAATTCCATTGTATTATATAAAGCTTTTAATGATAATTCTAGCTATCATTTTGTTTTTGGTCGTAAATCATACAAGGGCACTTGTATATTTTTTTTCAGAATCCATTTATAGTGGACTTAGTCTATGCTTTCCAAACAGGTGGAAAGTTGTATCTCATTCTTGAATATTTACCCGGGGGAGAACTTTTCATGCAGCTGGAGAGAGAGGGAATATTTATGGAGGACACTGCTTGGTAAGTCATGTGTTTAAAACATTTTTTTAAAATAACATATTGCCTTAATGATTTGTTTCAAATGCAGTCATTCTATTTACAGGAGGGTCCTGGGGTGTCTTCAAATGTTTGTCTTGTGAATTGTTCAAAACCAGCATACATTGTTACTAATCATGCGTGTTGTAAACATTAAGGCTACATGTTTTTTTTGTTTTTCAGAATTCTTTTTTATGGGATATGGTATGCTTTCCAGTGTTCTAGTTAGTCTAATACTTCTGCAAATATGCAAATATGTTTTAGGTTTTTATTTAGGTATAAGTATATATGTGAATGCTTTTTTGGTATTTCAGTTTTTACATAGCAGAAATTACTCTTGCCTTAGAGCATCTTCACAGCACAGGAATCATATACCGAGATCTCAAACCTGAAAACATATTGTTGACATCAACTGGTGAGTATGACTTTTTTTTGATATGATGAGATTTGCATTTGGTAGTTGATCCATTAATTTGTTTATTGATTTCAGAAATGACAGTTGGTTAGAGTTGAGATAAACTGACTAAAAGATGCGAAAAATAAAGCACATCATGTAACTCATTATGCTGTGTTTATAATTACAGTTTGTCATGGAAAGGAGAAATGTATTAACTTGATTATAGCTACATATCAAAGTGGTTTAATTTATTTATGAAAATAAATTTAGTTTGGATGAATTAGATTACATGCTACCAAACTGTTTGTTTTTAGGTCATATTAAATTGACAGACTTTGGTCTATGCAAAGAATCTATCCAAGAGGGCCATCTCACACATACCTTTTGTGGCACAATAGAATACATGTGAGTCTAATAAAGTTATTGGTAAATAAAAGTTATAAGATATTGAAAACTAACTCTTTCACATTTCTAAGATCATTTAGTGCAAACGGCAAACAAGCATCATTAATATTTTTGACATTTCATGAAAACTATTGCTATTTATCCAGAGGATATTGTGTTTTGTTCCTTTAAAAAAGCAACTGAAAAGAATCTTAATGTCTTTAGGGCTCCAGAAATTTTGACCAGAAGTGGCCATGGAAAGGCTGTTGATTGGTGGAGCCTTGGAGCCCTGATGTATGACATGTTGACTGGAGCAGTAAGTGGATTTCTTTATACAGAATGAGTTTATTTGTGATATTGAATAATTCTCTTACATATGGTTTTGAAACATATGAGTATCAAAAAAGCAAAATGTTCTATTATAATTCATTTCTTTTTCTCTTTAATCAAGTTTTGTCTTTTCAGCCCCCATTTACTGCTGAAAACAGAAAGAAAACAATTGATAAAGTAAGTCAGCAAAAAATATATCATTTATATGCCAGGGTTCATACAGGCTTGAAAAGGGCTTTAAAGCTCTGCACCTTGTGGCCTTAGAAAGTACTTAAAATTATTATTTTATCATTTTTGTTCTTGAAAAATCATTGATTTGATTAATAAGTTATAGACAATAATTAGTAGAATACCCTTTTATTGATTTCATTTTCATTTTTTTTGTGGTACTTCAGAAATTGCAAAATTGTGATTTTTCCCTTTGTATTCACACTAAAAATGACAGTATGTTGCCCAGTATGCTATAACAGATTACTTGAATTAGAGCTTCAAAATTCCTTTTAAATCTTTGGATTTGTTCTAAATGTAGCTGGCTGAACACCCCAAAGTATACAACTGAGCCTTATTTTTGAATTTTGAATCAAGATATATTAAAACACTGTTGTTATTGGGAAGCAAAACATTATTATTTTTAATTTATTTTCCAGATTTTAAAAGCAAAATTGAATCTACCTCCATATCTCACCAACGAAGCCAGAAGTTTGATAAAAAGAGTAAGCATTAAAAACACATTAAAAACATTTTTTGTCCAGCTAGTTGACTGTAAAATTAATTGTAAAAATGAAAATCTTATTGTAGCATACATCACATTTGCCTGCTAATGTGCATTCCTTTTTGGTGACTGATTTGTATTCCTCTGTGCACCTTAGCTGTTAAAGAAGAATGTGCAGGAGAGGCTGGGGAGTGGTCCAGATGATGCAAATCCAATCAAGGTTGGTGGTAAATTCGAACTGGTGTCTAATTTATTGCATTTAACAGGTTGACAAGATAAAAACGAAATTGGCTGTAATGAACCTTACCTAGGTAAAGGCTTGCTTTAAAACATGATTTACTCACATTGGCATTGTTTGATGATTTTCTTCCTGAATTGTTTTCTAGGATGAAATGTGACCAGTTATGAATGTTTTGTTTTGTAGGCCCATGCCTTTTTCCGTCATTTCAACTGGGATGATTGTGTAAATCATAGGACTGAACCTCCTTTTAAACCAAACATAGTAAGTTGTCAAAGTTGAGCTTGATTACATTACTGATTTTACTCCATTGACAGCGTATCATTATCAAGTGCCTAGTAATTGTTTGCTTGGATTTTTTTGTTTAGAAATAAAATCTTGTATGAAAAAGTAAATGGACATACTGGTAGACATACCACAGATTTATGCCACTGTAAAAATGACTAATTGTTTTTTTTATAAAATTTTGCTTTCCATTCACAGGCCAGTGAGGATGACGTCAGTCAGTTTGACACCAAGTTTACTAAGATGACCCCGGTGGATTCTCCAGTTGATACAGCTATTAGTGAAAGTGCCAATCAAGTATTTCTAGTAAGCCATATTTAAATGTTTGATGTTATTTTTTATATGAAGAAACAGAGAAAATAGTTTTTAAGACCTTTTAGGGGCAAATATTTAATGTGTTCAGTCTTCTATTCATAATCTATTTTAGATCTTTTTATATAATTGACATCCACGTATGCTGATGGTACAACTTGGATAATGATCATTTTTATTCAGAATGAAGAAAATCTCACTTTTCTTTTGTATAACTCATTGTTAACTAAGTCCTAAGGTATGACAGAGCACTTTCACAAAACCAATCTGTTGGATTGCTGGATTATATAAATATAATGCTCTTTCAGGGTTTTACATATGTGGCTCCATCAGTACTGGAGGAGCTACAGAGACCTTGGATTGCAGTCAAGGAACCAAGGTCTCCCAGGAAAGTCATAACTAGTCCAAAATTTCCAGACCCAAGGTAAATTATATATTTTCAGACACAGATAATTATTATTGAGTGAGATAATTCAAGGGCATTATGATTAGAAGAAAGTGTTAAATGATAATAAACAACTACTTTTATGTTTAATTAGTATTTGTGATGAAAAACGAAATTGATATGATGCATAATGAAACAATGGACATTAAAAAAATTGTGTATTTTCAGCATGGTCCGATCTCATCCATTTGCATCGTATGGCTTCAATGTTCCATCTCGTTCAGGAGCACAGGAAGAGGCTATGGACACCTCAGGGCCACCAAGGCCTAGATCACCAGCCATTGCAACTAAAAATGGACCTAAAGAACGAGATGCTTATGCTGGTTCAAATAACAGGCCACCACATCTACGATTTACGTAATGATTTTAAGTTCTAGGCAATTTTGTAAAAAAAAAATGATTCAATTTATATTCTCTGACAAGGATTTTACCATTTTATGCTAATATTTATTCATGTTGTCAGAGTTGTCTGAGAACAGCATCTGGATCCAGATCATGGGCAAATGTTCACACCAGCTACCTGGTTGTTATAAACCAGAGTCAACACTTATTATTATCATGGGCGAGAAATCCATTGATTCTGTTGTCTTTTCTGTATTAATGGGAGAAAATTATGTGACAAGAAAAAATTAGTGCTAATTTTCTACCTCAACAGAAGCATATCAGAATTCCCTGGGGTTGCTGGCACTAATGGTGAACCTGTTATGTAAAAGGTTACCATAATGGTACAGTCTCTATGTGGTCTCGTTTATAACCTCGGAGCGTCTAATTCTTACAACATTACTTGTTGACTCATTTTATCATCATTTCCAGTAATTTGTTTCTTGAAAAGTTACTGGCTGCACATAATTTCAATAGGTATCATTCATTTTTATATAATGGTCTTTAAAAGCGGAAGTGTAATAACTGTCTGTTGTTTAATATGTTGGCATTATCTTGTTCTTGACCAACTGCATTATGTATATACCAATACACTAATGGCTCACTAAATTTGAACAAAGTTGATTAATTTTATTTCCAAAGATGGTTTTATCAATACGTTAGAAGCTGTATTTGTGGGAAACTTAACAACTGATAAATGTTTAAGAAAATTAAAACATTAGCAGAAAGAAGAGTTTGAAATTTGTAATAACCTTAGTTTAGGTGTCAAGTACAGCCTTATAAATTTGTTGTTTTGAATGTTCTGTATGCTATCATTATCACATGACTTTTGGCAATCATTTGTGCAATTGTAAACACCATAATATCATTTCACTAAAACAAACAACACAATCACCATTGTTTCTGCTTATAATTCATTGTATAGTTATGTTTTACAGCTGACTCTTAGCGTGTGTGGAATTAAATGAATAATTTTTCCTGGGAGTTCAGCCCTGGAAAATAATTATATGGTACCGAGTTTTATGTCATTTATTCACTGTATGAAATATGTCTAGAAATTTGACTAAACTAGTAGAATTTTATTATGATTTATTTATCGCCAAGAAAACTGAGGTGGTCTGAAATGTGCCAATGGTGTATAGTTCTCCTATATGTGTATCCATTAGGCTTCCCATAGTTGTAGGAATATGGTTGAGTAAAATGCCTTATAAAGGAATGTGTAATTGTTGTTTGTCGCCATGGTCCTCAACCAGTTTTAGGCATGCTCAGGTATAACTGAGAAGTTAAATTTTCTTTATATTTTTAATGTGATAGCATTGATGAAATAGCACAATGGGTACACAGTTCCAACTTGTGAAATGTAAGATTTTCTTTTGCAACACTCTTTTAAAAAAGGAGTGGATTTTACAATATGTCTGAACTGTTGGTCTTAGAAAATAGTAAACCACAAAATTAATCATATTCAGCTCCAGTGGAAGATGACAGTTACTGTGGGTGACCAAGTTGACTTACACTTCAACATCAGAAAGCTTGGAATCATGACATTTTTTACCTGATTAAAATTTATTAAATGTAATAAGTGCTCAACTGTGACTTTTTAAGCTCTTCCTTTATCTTTTTTTTATACATGGAAAATTTGCTTGATAATTTTCGTCCCACTAGGTATATGAAGTAGAAGTGTTGTAACATTTGTGCGCAGACTGAGCAAAGTGCCCATGAATTTCAACATCATTGTTTATGTATATATATATTTTATTTAAACCACTGTGTAAGGGTAAGAGATTGATAATTATAATACTATATTGACGTCATACATATACCTATAAACTTGTACATGTTAGCTTATTACCATGAAAAGGGTCTTAATGGGTTTTGTCCCAACAGGTTAATCTCTAATTATGGATTATAAGGTTCTCTTCAAGCTGATTATTTAAGTGATTTTCATCATCAAGTATCACGATTAAGTAAAAATATTTATAAACCTGATTTGGAAAAACCTTGTAAACAAGATAGATATATTTTTTGTTTTAGCTGTGATGTTATTAACATAACTCATATTAATTAAATGAAGATAAAATGACAGGTTTGTAGCATTGACCTAGTTATTCATAGATAAAAAACATGAATACCTGTGTTGTGTAAATAATGATAATAAAGTCTTAAATAAGAAATCTACTTATAAATGATAGTGTTTCAGTTTTCCTGTTTCTATGAATGAACATTTAAACATTATTCAGTTTTGTGTGCTTGCTTATAGCTGTACATATAACACCACATACAAATCTTATGAGGTACATGTACTATACATTTATTATCATTATTAGATGGTAAAGGCAACAAGATGGTAATTCTACTCCTAAATTCATTGTAAAGCTAAAAATAATGCAACATTTTACATGTAATAATATCAAAATGCACATATCCTGGTGCACTAATTTTGAAAGACGGATAAGTAAAATGAAGAAATGCTTGCTGTTGGGATATGAACAGCAAAACTTAAGGATGAGCAATGTGAAGTTTTAATGCTGAAAATTGCTTCTTTGCAACAGGGTGACTCCCCCCCCCAAAAAAAAAAAAAATAATAAATAATAAATAAATAAATAAATAAATAAAAATAAATAAATAAATCCTACAAATATCACTCAAATTTCAAGAAATTTTCAGGACTTTTGTTGGACACAAATTGTTAATTACTCGAACACATTCCTTTGTTGGACACAAATTGTTAATTACTCGAACACATTCCTTCTTTTGGGGGGGGGGGGGGGGGGGCTNNGGGGGGGGGGGGGGGGGGGGGCTGTCTTGCTGGAACCACTGTCCTTCATGATCATTCAAGTGATTTCAAAAACTTTCTCAGCACTGCCACCTAGCAATTTCAGGAAAGAATGAGCAGCAAGAATTGAGAAGTTGAGTGGACACTGCATTACCTAGATTTTTATATGTGGGGATATCTCAAGGATAACATGTACAAGAATAACTCTCAAGCAATTGAACTGAAGGCAGCAAACACAGCAAATATCAGGGAAATCCCCAAAGAGGAATGTGGTCAAGTGTTCCACAATATTTAGCGACATACTCAAGTTTGCCTCCAATGGTGCAATATTTATAAACCTGTTTTGGAAAAACCTTGTAAACAAGATAGATGTATTTTTGTTTTAGCTGTGATGTTATAAACATAACTCCTATTAATTAAATAAGGATAAAATGCGGAGGCCATTTGGAGCATATTAAAAAGTACATAACTTTCATGCAAAGGGACTGAGATAATTGAACTTTGGGGAATGATCATGCACATACTGAAGTTAATGCCAATCAAATTTCTTGGAAATTGATGGACCTTTGTAGGATTTAATAAAAAATTTATGGGGTCCATTTTTTGGGGTCACCCTGTCCTACAACCATGTATTTCTCATCTGTGAAAAATTTTTCACACAAATCTTCATTTTTGCAATTTTATAATCTCATTTTTCTGTCAAGGGGCACTTTTCTTCCTGTTCAAAATTTAAACTGTTAACTAATATTCATATTTTCATCTTTTGCTCAAACTAACAATTTTATTTTCACTTTGTTGTGTCCAATATTAAAGGGATAATAACTCTTTGTATGAGATCTATATTTGACAGTAAAAACATTGTGAACAACTCGCAGAAATATAATATATTCTGTTTTACCACAAAAACGACAGTTATAGTTATTATTCTGATATCTGAGCTTGTCTTCAGACCACGTGACCTCCATTGATGGCTTTACTCTGCTATAATCTCTTAAGAGATTTTAACAAAAAACCAAACTTTTTAGAAAAAAACCAGGGACTAACTTTGAATGTAAAAACAGATTCATTAACCATTGGTAAGTATGGGAAAATTGTTGTTTACTCCAGGAAAATTCATTTTTTTGCCAAAACGAAGAGTTATTATCCCTTTAACCATTTCCATTTAGAAAGCTAATGTATCATGAATTGTCAAAGCATCAAAAAAAAAAAAAAAAAAAAAAAAAAAAAATGTTCAATATTTCCAAAGTAATGGAATACTATGAAAAGCGTTTGGATCAAAAGTCAAAGTGATGACCAATGCAACATATATGAAAGTAACTCAGCCTTTTGAGCACAAAGTGACTAAAAATTACTCAACATTATCATTTGATAAAAAAAAAAAACTACCACAATTCACACATTTTGATTTTTCATTACCACAAGCAGACACATGTTCGAAATGACATGCTCAATAACTTAGCCCACTTTTTTATAAAAATTAAAGAAACGATATATGGTGGGACTTTAAAACGTGCTAAAATTAAACATAAACACGTTCGCAATAAAAAAAGCTGATTTGCCCAACTGCCAACTGTCTTGCAATCCAATAATTTTTATAAATATGCAAGAGAATTATAAAAAGTCAGAAAATCAGTGCATGCTTGGCAAAGTGACATGGTGAGTGGATCCAATAATGCCTTGCTAAAATTGAATGCCACAAGCGTTTCATGATTTTGATACAAATTTCTACACTTAATGTACTTGATTGTTCTTGGGAGTGATAAGTTTAACCCAAAGATTACACACACATCACAAGAACAACATGTTATCATTATAAATGTAATACACTATTTAAAATTCTCAGCATTTTAAATTACTAAAATATATAAGAAGGTATTACTACTAGGATACTGAAAACCATTTAACTTGTAATATATCCAGCAAGCTATTCAAATTGCCCCTTTAATGGAAACTTGAATGTTAAAAATTTTTAATCAGATGCACATTTGTGCATTAAGTAACTTAAGGTAGGTTACTCTACCTGGTATGTGAGAACATTAAATAATCCTTTTAACTTATTCAGTGCTACTGCTTCTGGGGTTATTTTTTCTTTACAATTCCAATCATCTTTAAGGTTGGATACAAGCCTTTTTAAGTATACTATACATGTTTAAAAAAGTCCAATTAATTATCTTTCCAGATTCAGACCTTACAAACTAACAGACCCTCAATTAAAAATAAATAATGTTGAAATTTCCTTTTGA